TTGATTATTGTTAATCCATTATATTTCTGTAGTTTGCATGCCATCAACATCGGGCTAATTACCTTCTTGTCATTAACCCGCACCTTTCCCGTTATTACTCACATGATCAATCACTTCGCAGACATATTTAAAACGTGAGATGGCAGGAGACGTGCCTAATATAGACCTATGGAGAAGACAAGGCGTTAGACTATTACAGTGCAAATAAGCAGAGTTTCTTCCAGGCATCTCTTCGGGGGAGCTGAGCCCCCCCCCCCCCCTCGCCCCTGAAGAAAGTCTACCGCCCCCCCCCCCCGTACTAAATGGAATTTATATAGACAATACATAATTTTACCATCGTCCGACACCCCCCCCCCCACTGCAAATAAGGAGCAGGAAGTGCCGCTTGCAAAAACTCACAAATGTAACGCGCCCGGCGCTTGAGTTGATTCTCCAGGGAAGTTGAAAGAGGGGGAGCACACGACTGAGTCTTTATGAAGACCTGAAGGATATAGGGATGTCATGGGAGCCTGAAAATTTACAGCCGGGGAGGGAAAAAATTTAAGGTCATCGTTGAGGCCCTTTGCTCCACAAATAGGTAAAAAGGATTAGGTTAAATAAAGTTATCACATAATAAAATAATAGCGTAAAAACGTTATTCATATAACGGATGATACATAGCTCTACTACAATCCCAGCAAGGAAGATATTTACATTCGAGAAATCAGCATTTATCGATTATTATTGAGTTACAAGACATCACTCATTCATATTCAGATGATGTGCATATTCAATTATTCTATCCAATCATTAAAAAAAACAATGTGATAATGATAATGAGAAATATATTTATTTATCTTTAAAATACAATTCGTATGAAAGTGTGTAAAACATCAATAGTTTTATTATATTGACGATTCTTCCAGCCCAGATGTGTGCCACTGATAAATAATGCATTAGTATCCGTATCTGCCGCTAGTCTCTCATTGAAAGCTCAACTAGGTGTGGTTATTTTGAGACTATTGTGAGGTCAGGGTCATACAAAGCCAGCTTTACTTTTCACAACTTTGTACAGGTATGCGTTAGAGTTAGCTGGACTTAGACAGTTCAAATTTCACAACTTGCGAGTTTCGTTCTAACAACGAAAGGCTCTGACTAGCTTTCTGCAATCAGAGTTTCTTCCAGGCATAGCTTCGGGCCACCCCCCCCCCCCCCGAAATTTTTTTACCGCCTCCCCGAACGAAATGAAATTTATATAATTTATATAGAAAATATATACTTTTAACAGTGTCCGCCCCCCCCCCCCCCGTAGAAAGTCTACCCCCCCCCCCCCCCGAAAATTTCAAGTGGTCCCCCGGAGAAAAAAGTCTGGATGAAACACTGTCTGCAATGGATTTCAAGCTGAGTTGATTTTTGATGTGTACAAGCTGTAGTGAACGAGTGAAGATTGGGGTTGAATGGGGGTGAATGTTTTTTGTATAACTTGTACCCTGTCCTGTTTAGTCCCCGTGCTGTGATTTGTGACAGTCCGGGTTATACATGTTTTCTGTAAGGGTATATAAGGTACGTGAGGATGTGTGTGATTACCTCAGTTTCGTCCAGATCTCATCCAAGTTTAACGTACGTTAGTTATGTTCTGCTAGATAGCCACTGTATGTTAGTATTTGTACTAGCTTGTGTATTTAGTGATTAGATTAGATGTTGTATTTAGTATTAAATTATTCTAGTTTACACGAGCCGTTGTTTCATTGTGGCTGTTTCGTCTAATGTGTTGAATGATCCGCTGGATTAACTGTAAAGGCTTGTCCTTGTTCATTACAAAGCAAAGGAATGCTGTGACAATGAAATGTAATTTTAAAAACAACCGTAACGCAACAAACTTCTTTTTGTCGTTTTAAATCATCATTTACATAAACATTCGAAATTACTGCGTAAAAACAAATTAAAACGAGATATAATCAAAAACAATAAATGCACATGTTTTGAGTGTTAGAGATAGCTGGGCATAACATAATGATATTTATTCTATAATTAGTATGATTTAGGAATCTTATTGTTCTGCTGTTACCACATATTTAAATTAGCAGTGCCGTAAAAATTACGATAATAGTAAGGGTTCATACAAAAAAAAATAAACTTTGATAAGAACTTCCGTAATATTTAGTGAAATGAAAATTATTTTTGGTAAGATTTTCTTAAATGTATTACGAATTATAGTTATACTTATATGTGGATCAGTGGCGTAGCGAGGTTGGCTGTCGCCCGGTGCGGCACTTAATGGTGTCACCCCCCCAGAGGCGTAGCGACCCTTCCCAGGGACAAGCTTTCACATTTTCGATTTGCACCCCCCCCCCCCTCAAACTTTCCTTTCGATTTGTACCCCCCTCAAACTTTCGATTTGCACCCCCCCCCCCCACTCAAGTTTTTCTCTATATATTTCGCTATTTTTTGCATTGGTGTCACCCCCCTAAATGGTGTCACGCGGTGAGATCCGCACCCCCCCCCCCCCTCGCTACGCCTCTGATGTGGATAGTTTCTCTCTTAGAACAGTCTGGAGTTTACTTGACAAACTCGACATGGTGATTCTTCTGTCGCTCCGGGTCCAGAAGCTTCGTGTTCTTGATCTTCCACACCACCACCCCAATAACCAACAGCGACGCAGCCAGAATGACCCCGGCCACTATAAACCCCATGGCCAGGTACGACACGCTCTGCTTCGGGTTTACATCCAACTCCATCTCCTCCTCCGCCGGCTCACACCTGGCGTAGCAGCTGACCACCTTGATCTCCCCGCCGACCTGGTCTATCTTGACGTCCACCATTTCCGTGTTGAGCCACCTGGAGATCGAGCCTCGCTTGGGACAGACGGATTTCAGCGTGGCCACACAGTTGTTGCCGACTGTGCAGAAGCTGGGGTAGGAGCACTTGACGGGGTTGTGTTCCTTGGAGAACATGCAGAACTTAGCTCCCTTGCTGCTGTTCTTTAAGCCCAGCTGCTCGTCGATGAGGTCCGTGGAGCTTAAGCTCAAGCTGATGCGGACGGTGAAGCTGTTGCCCGAAGACTTGCACATTAGGCCGTACAGTCTGTGTGCAATAATAAAAAAACAACAAACAAATAAATAATATAAAAAAATATTAGTTTAACAAACGTGTTACACAAAGATAAAAGTCTAAATATACATGAAACGCATGGTCATTTGAGAATCAAATACTATTTATCACTTCCATAAAAAAATATTTTATTATTTCACACCGTCATGGTGTATTAAAAAAACATTTGATTGATGAAAAACTATTAAACATAAATTAAGTAACATATAGAGAATATGTTAGCAATATTAGTATGTATAAAGAAATATTTAAAACGAAATTTGAATTTTTTAAAATGAATGACATTTTATATTTGAGTAAAGATGTAGGCCATATTTAGATTAAAAACGAGGACGTTGTGGTCAGGTGATTGCTAACTCTATAAGTCCCGGGTTCGGCCACTTAAATGGCGAGAACACATCTGGTAGAGAGAATGTTCTTTGGTGAACAAAGGCTATTGAAGACAATCCAAATATTAGCAAGCTGAAGTCGGACCCGCCGGACCATATTAAGGGGCATAAGGTGTTGACTTCTCCAATATCACAATTATGAACAAAGAGGAAGGGAAACTAAAAGTAAGTCAAAATTAGTGATGTGAAAAAAAGGGTTATGTATTTTTCTCAATCAGGCTGTGAACATTATATCGTCATGTTTCATGTGTGTAGTGTTTATTATGTAATATGAAGTATATATTTTGCATGGTATGTGAATTACGACCATGTTTTAGTTACTTACATGCCATTATAAAATATCTCGTAATTCAAATTGCCAGTGTTCATTGACCTATATCTCCTGACCTAACGTGTCGTGTATAGTGTGTCGTGACCTACTCACATTCGTCCTGCTCCTCATTGTGGTCTGTGTACTTTTTAATATGTTTTGTAGTCTATATATTATAGTATGGCATGTGTATTACGACCATGGTTTGATGAATTACATGCCATTTTAAATTATGTCATATGCAAATTGCCAGTGTTCATTGACCTATCTCCTCACCTAACGTGTCGTGTGTAGTGTGTCGTGACCTACTCACAGTGTGTCAAGCTCCTCCTCCATGTGCACGTCGTGTGTCTCGGGGGAGCGACCAGGCATGGGAGCCACAAAGTGAAAGTTGAGCTGGGGACTGGACTGTCCCCCCACACGGTACACATTCAACAACGTCATCAGTAGGAGTAGGTTCAACATTTCAAGGGAAACAAATCTAAAATAAATTACGTAAACATATTAAACAGTAAAATAACTTTTAAATTACAGTAATTGATATTTTAACGGCCTGCGCGACGTAACGTAAAAGTACAAAACTCAAGTTCCCCATCGAACCTGAAGGTTCATGGAGCAAGTGAAGTTGACTTCACCGGTTTCTGTGACCTCGGCATATGAAGGGATGGTGTGGTCAGCACTATGCCCAGCCGCTTTTATTTGTGTTAGGTACCCATCAGAGCTGGGCGGACCTAGGGACGTTCTTCAACCAGGATTCGAACTCAAAACTTTGATGTTGGCAGTCGTATGCTCTAACATTCAACAACTCCGTCCTTCGGAAGGTCTAATATATATATATATATATATATATATATATATATATATATATATATATATATATATATATATATATATATATTTATTTATATATTTATTTATATATATATATATATATATCTTACACGGTTTAAGCATTAAATAGTATTTAAATGCAAAGCAACATATCTAGACCAGAACGAAACACATTATCATAGTCATATTTACTATGTTTCTTTACACACACATTATGAAAAAGAAATGCGATTAATTCTGTGTCAAATGATAATCTCACAAGTAAATGTAAGCTATAATTTTAAAAAATGCTATGTTGATGTTAGATACTTTGAAGATTCAACATTTTATCAATATGACGTTGTTTTTTATGCATTAATAACAATTTGGTTCAAATCATTACATAGAGTTTAAAGACATACCTGATAGCTACACAACATCGAACATGAATAAACAACTGAGCAGCCCCTCTTATGATACAATGAAACTTGTGTAATATAACATACCTACTTTTGGCGTCATACGTATAAATGCTAATTGATATTAATTGCATTAGAATTGTAAATTAATACATTACAATTACAGAAGAACAAAAGGCTATTTTAATTGCAGGAACCATGACGAAACACGTTGTTTTCTTTGATTAGGCAGGCTAGGGGAGATAATTCAATACGTTTTATTTTTATATTACATGCTAGAGTATTTTCCCTTGAGCATACTTAACACTAGGTAGAAGACAGGAGGAACCGCAAATAGAGAACGACGATCTTCTGTATTTACTGCCTATTACATACACATATTGCATGGAAAAAATATACTTTTGGAACTTTATGTAACTCAATTGAAAATAATTATTTGAATGAATGTTCTTGAAATTTAGGGGACGGAGTAGTCTAGCGGTAGAGAGCTGGACTGCTAACCCGTAAGTCTCATGTTCGAATCCGGGTTCAAGTCAGTTCAACTCTGATGGCTCCCTAACTTACGTTAGGGAAACCTAACTTACGTTAGGGAAAGTAAAGGCGGCTGGGCATAGTGCTGACCACACTATAGGGACAGTGAAGTAGAGATATGCTTCTGTCACATCTCTACTTCACTGTCCCTATAGACCGTAGTCAGGTTTGATAAAGGAACTGTTTCCTGGGAGCTGAAAGGTCTTCCCAGACGGTTGAGTCCTGGGAAGCACCTAGACAAAAGTTATGTGACAGATAAAGTAGAGTTTATTGGTTTCTGTGACATCGGGACCTCGGCGTAATTAAGAAAGGAAAAAAAATAGCAATATGTCCAGGTTTCTGTTTTGCAAATGTAGTGCACAGTCATTATATCAAATAGCCCTGTATTGTTCTGATAATTAAACAGTCCACTGTTATGTTAACTTTCGTGTTTCTTTGCTAAGGTCACAAACAACAATTATGTATTTTAGAGAGTTCTAGTAATATCAAAAACTAGCTAGAATTCTCTCACCTCAGATAATCTTTAATGCAAATGTCTTATTGTTTATTGTTCTTAAATGTATATGTATTTATTATATTCATTGAACTGTCTTACTTAACACATTAAGTGAGTATCACAACACAAATTCATTCGGACATGTGCCGACTCGAGTCAATTTACCATCGCGGCCATTAGCGGTGTCGGCACTTAAGCCCGGTAATCTAGATACATTTTTAAAGTTATTGATCCTGCGCATTTTTACTCGATCACTACAACACAACAAACACACATAATTAAATTCACGCTATGAACAAAATGTAATATACCAACACGAGAAAAGGTTGTAAATACACATTTTAATGAAGTGAACAGATAATTACATTTTTTTGAAGTTTCACGGATATTTGGAAAGCTTTCTGTATTTTCGCTAATTTATAGTCAAAGATGTAACATGAATTTTTGTCGTTTATGTAACTAAATGAAATGTATTCTTGTATTAAACACTAGACAAAAACATTTTAAAACAATATTTGCAACTAGAGGAGTATTTTGCATTTATATTTACTCAGAATATCACATTCGAAATTGTAAAAAAAAAATATATACAACTTTACAACTTTTAACTCAGTTTTATATGTTTATACATTTTATGTATATAAAGTCGATTTTCATTTTCATTTCGTTTCTCACGTTTAATTTGAGCATGTTTATAAAATGCCACAACTCTTCCTCTTCCAATCACTTTTCTAACAAATTCAGCCTAAATCACAATGTAAGTAGTTCAGAAGTAATGTAACAATGTTTGTTTTTTTCTAAAGTATGTACATGAATTATCTCCACCAAAAGTATCACCATTTTCTTTCACACACAAACATATTTTGGTCGTTGACGTATTTCATGTGGTAATTGTTATGTGAGAATTATTACATCTGGTTCTATGGTAATAATGTGGCAACAGCTATTACAAAGACTGTTTATAATCATGGTGGCGGTGTGGTAATAATGATTACATAACGTAATCTATGTGGTGTGTGGTAACGATGATTTCATAGTGTACTCTAGGTTCTGTTGATGATGTGACATCAACGGCTACATAGCGTACTCTATATGGTGGTGATGTGACATCAACGGCTACATAGCGTACTCTATATGGTGGTTATGTGACATCAATGGCTACATAGCGTACTCTATGTTCTGTTGATGATGCGACATCAACGGCTACTTATCGTACTCTATATGGTGGTGATGTGACATCAACGGCTACATAGCGTTCTCTATATGGTGGTGATGTGACATCAACGGCTACATAGCGTTCTCTATATGGTGGTGATGTGACATCAACGGCTACTTAGCGTACTCTATATGGTGGTGATGTGTCAGCAATGGTCACATAGCGTACTCTATATGGTGGTGATGTGACATTTACGGCTACTTAGCGTACTCTATATGGCGGTGATGTGACATCAACGGCTACTTAGCGTACTCTATGTTTTGTTGGTGATGTGACATCAACGGCTACTTAGCGTACTCTATATGGTGCTGATGATGTGGCTTATCCGGATCAAGCCGGCGCGTCGACCTAATCTTCCACACCACCGCACCAATCACCATCAGCGACGCCGCCACAATAACCCCAGCAACGATAAACCCCACCGCCAGGTACGATATCCCATGAGCCTCGTCTTCTTCCGTGTCATCGTCTTGATCCGTGACGCACTTCCCGTAACACGTCACAACCTTCAGCTCCCCGTCCACTATGTCAAGCGTGACGTCGACCCTCTCCGTATTCGCCCATCTGGAAATTTTTCCCTTTTTCGGACAGATGGATTTCAGCGTGACTTGACATACGTTCCCGCTGGTGCAGTAGTTTTCGTGGTCACATTTGACTGGGTTGAGGACGGGGGAGATGAGGCAGTACTTGGCGCCCTCGCTCCCGTTGTGGAGGGCGTTGTCTTCGTTGATGATGTCTGTGGAACCCATGTCAGGCCCGATACGAACGGCGAACGGGTTGCCGGGAGTTTTGCACAGATGGTCCCACAGTCTAAAAGGACATTGAAAATCCATGTATTACAATTCAAAATAGCGTTATCATAGTAAACTTTCGTTTTCAAGATCTCAGTTGAAACAGTATTTTCGTTTATTTATCTTGTTTAAAAATGGCAAACAATCTATTAGCTTGATTATTCGTATAATAATTAATTTAATACGCGCCACGATTCCTATTAATATGATCAGTGGCGTAGGCAGTGGGAGGGTTAGGGGTGGCCATAACCCCCATAGACCCCTCGGTATATATATCAAGTATGAGGGGGGGGTGTAAATCAAATGTTTGAGGGGGGGTGCAAATCGAAATTTTGAGGGGGGTGCAAATCGAAAGTTTGTCCCCGGGTACATATTTGAACCCGCCCCCCCCCCCCCCCAGCATGAGACGATCCTGGCTACGCCACTGAATATGATATATCCATTCGATTTTCAGAAATTGCAATACACATTCTGTTCCAATTTTAGCCCAATGGAAAATGTGTAATTTGTATAATACATTTTCATATAATTTTGATTAATATTAAGACAGTAACTAAGTCATTTGATCTTTCTAAACATTATGAGGCTTATACGTTTAATGAAGATGTAAATCGATGTTGAATTTGCATTTTCAGCGTTGTTGTTCGCCCTTATTGCGAGAAATATGAAGTTATTAGTTGAATACATAAAGATGGACGCTAACGTGAACATACAACTTTCTGAGTATATTTCCTGAATTGTGTTCTGTATACGATGAATTAAATATAATGATTTTTTTTTCAAAGGCTATAGTTGAACATAAAATATTCGGGATAAATAATGTAGCCTACGTGTCTTTTTCCTCGAATCAAACATTTCTAACTCCCCTTTTCAAAAAGATCCACTAAATTTTTAAAGCATTTGGTGAAATAGATGACGACGATTTTGTAATTAGAACGCAACCGGGTATGAATCTAGAAAAATAACGGAAACGTGATTCATAAATGTTTAATCATGGAGAAGCGATGGGTGTTTATCTACTCACTGATATTCTAGAACAGTCTCTATTTTGACGTCGTGGGTGTAGGAGAAGCGACCAGGGATGCGAGCCAGCAGACGAAACGTGATGGTCGGGTGTACTGTGGCGGTTACCATGGCAACCAGTGTCACGGAGGAGATAAACAGGTTCACGAGCAACATAGTGACTTGTCTTGTGTCTGTATCAATGAATGTATGTTTATATATATATATATATATATATATATATATATATATATATATATATATATATATATATATATATATATATATATATTTCATTACATATTATATAGACAGATCTAAATGAGTCGCGTTAAAATGCAAAATGTGTAGATTGATTCAGAGACGTAGCGATGTGGGTTGGGGGGGGAGGGGCAGCATATGGGGGGACATATGTCCCCGGGCGCCGACCTTAGGGGGCGCCAAAATGGGTTAAAAAAAGTAATCGAAAGTTTGAGGGGGGTGGAAATCAAAAGTTTGAGGAGGGGGGGGGGAGGAGGGTTCAATCGAAAGTTTGTCCCCGGTCGCCGGGAAGGGTCGCTACGCCTCTGGATTGATTATAATGTGGTCGGGTGGTATAGCGCATGGCTACTAATTCAAAAGTCCAGAGTTCGGATCCCGGACTCGAATTCTAGGACCTAACGAGTCTACTCAATCTTGGTGAGTATTCGACCCTCGTTAGGGAAATCTAAGAAGGCGATCACGACGTTATAATTGTATCACGAGGTATTACCTGTCTCATATTTAATGGGCATCTACTTCACCTACGTGTAATTAATGAAGGATAACTAGAGTCAGTTGGTCAGTTTATTTAGGCGATAGGACACTTTAATATAACTCACTATAAGCTTACAATATGTATGTCTATATACATAAGTTATATACAAAAAGGGAACTGAACTAAAATATTAATATGGTCTGTATTTTTTTAAAAAGCAATTTGAATAACAAGCAATGCACAGTTCTGTAATGTACTATATTCCTAGATTGATTGATTTAAAGACTGTTTGTAAATATTCTTCAATTTAATTGTATTTCATTCCAATAGAAATAGCAAATCTAAATTAATATAACGTTCAAACAGGTTTGATGAAATATTGCACTAAACTCTAACATTTCTCTCAGTCTAAACTAAAACTAATCAATCAATACCTACACATTAGCAGTGACGCCTTGAGTGATTTAGTAGCCTCACCGAGTCAATCCACAACAAAGAATCATGGACATCACCATACGTTTATGTCAGAACTTCGCATATCCAGTTCTCTGCTCACACTATACAACTGTTAGATGAATACAAATATATCATTTTTGTTATAACGTTATAATGAATTAAAATAACACCGAGTAATCCACAACAAAGAATCATGGACATCACCATACGTTTATGTCAGAACTTCACATATCCAGTTCTCTGCTCACACTATACAACTGTTAGATTATACAAATATATCATTTTTGTTATAACGTTATAATGAATTAAAATAACACCGAGTAATCAACAACAAACAATCATGGGCATCACCATACGTTTGTGTTAATTCTTCACATGGTCAATTCACATCTTTAACTATACAACTGTAAGATATATAAAAATATACTATCGGTGTTATAAAGTTATAATGCATTAAATAACACAATAATGTAGTATACAGTTTAGAAATGTATTAACATATAGAAGTAGTATACAATATTAATACACAATGCATATAACTAAACTTAAGGACATGATAATTAATTACAAAAAAAAATACATACCATTACGTCCCAGTATAAAATGTCATAAAATATAATTGTAACAGTTGAAAGTACAATCGTTTCTTGAGAACTGACAATTACTTTATGTAAATCAGTTCAGCCAAAAACACAGTAATAACAGTTGGAGAGAAATCTTTCATCTAGCACGGCTAAATCGTGTTTTTCTCTTACTGTGCTAGGTCACCAACAACTTCTACACGATGGTGTTAATTAATTAGCTGATTAGCTAATTAGGCTTGGGCGCTGTGTTCAGATTGACACCGGGTTAAATAAATAACAAAGAGTTCACGGTTTAATTAAATAAATCCATGCTAAATCACGTCTCACCTGTTCACTTGTAGTTAAAAAAATACAATATTTTACTTTTGAAGTGCTGATCATTTCCTTTTTATGCTTCATTGTCCGTAGCGTGATGCCCGACAAGTTAGATTAAGAGTTCAAACCTATGGTTTGGGATATGGTAGTTGGCGTTGAAGACTAAATTTACACATTGAAAAACTTAGTCTTTTGTGGCGATACAGCAGAGTTTACTTGTTTTCGTACTAATTTATACACACATCATTTTCCGCCAAATTATTTCACACTCAAGTGCATTCGTTGTGCTGAAAAATTGTAAAGGGACTTATACTACAGGTTAAAGTCCACTACCGCTTCTAGTAAAGTCAGGGTGACCGAAAAGATGCGCAATGGAAAACTGCGCACAAAAAAAATTGCAATGTCATATTTGTTTCTTAAATCCAGCATTTATAGTCATTAGCAAAGAATTTACATGTAGCATAATAACACTTGCCCACGAAATAAGACAAAAAAGTGTATTATTATAATTAATTTGTATTAGCGCATTGTTCTGATTGCAGAATTGTCAGTTGCACAGTTTTTCGTCAGCGCATTTTGTTTCCTTCTACGTATAATTAATAGCTTTGGAAAACAGCTAAAGTCGTTTGTAAAGTAATGTATGTATCTTTTTCTCTTAACTTGGGGCATGTGTAAGTCAGTAATACAATTCTAACTGAGCTTTGGAATCTTTGCTTCTAAATAGTTTATCCGCGCCAGTGGCTAGGTGCTACACCAAATGCACTTTTTCGTTATTATTCAAGCTAATCCATTAAAACTTTACCCATATAATATATACTGAAAGTTATTTTTAAAAAATGTATAAGAATCTATTTTATCATATGGTTGCCATGGTAAAAGCCGCCATATTGGATTTGTGTATATCATTTTCAAAATGCTAAGGCTCTATAACCACAAGTGCTAAACACACCAAAATGCATGCATTATATAGGGCGATTTAAGCTTATTAAGTTCTGTTTCACATTTTAAGTAAAGCCAAGCTAACTTTTTTTTCTAAAAAAAATTCTATCAAACTGATAAAAAACGCTAAAACGTGCACAAATGTAGCTTATTTCTGGCTTTAAAATAAAAATAAAGCAAGTTTTGATAGAAATTGAACATAGAAGTTATGTGTATGTATCTGTAGAATAATAAGGTAAAGTTTCAGTAAGATACAAGTAGAACTAACTGAGGAGTAGCAATTTAAAGTGTCAAATTTGTAATTTTGAGAAAAACGCGAAAGAAGTAAAAAAATGTTTTTTTAAAAACTACCCAATAAATACAAAATACAAATCACTATTTTCTAGTAATAACTAAAATGTTTTTATGTTTAGTAAAGAATGTATTTAAATAATTAGGTCAAAACTGAAATTCTACATCAGGCACCCGATACACCTAAATTTGGTACTGCACCTAGCCTTAACTACGCCACTATTGAATATAGCAGGAAATACTAGCGCCATAGCAAGAATTATGTTATTGCCAACATTGCCTGTTTATTCTGATGGCAAAATTAAAATGTGTATGTAACATAAAGATAATACTACCAAACATCATAAACCTAGTTCAAGTAATGTATTGCTGTCTCCACTTCCTCTGTTGGGATATGCTAGTACGGCTAACCAGAGGCGTAGCGAGGGGTTGGGGGGGGGTGCGAACCACACCGGGTGACACCATTTAGGGGGGGGTGACACCAAGGCAAAAAATCGCAAAATATATAGAGAAAAATGATAATTCCACTTAATTAAGTGATTAATTCGAGTGTTAAATAGTGTTTTAAGAAGTGCAAATCGAAAGTTTGAGGGTGGGGGGTGCAAATCGAAAGTTTCAGGGGGGGGGGGGCGGTTTCAAATCGAAAGTTTGAGGGGTGGGGGTGCAAATCGAAAATTGAAAGTTTGTCCCCGGGAAGGGTTGCTACGCCTCTGGGGGGGGGGGGGGGGTGACACCATTAAATGCCGCTGCGGGTGACACCCGACCTCGCTACGCCACTGCGGCTAACCAACTTTACTCAGAGCATCGCCTAGTTTAGAATGTAGACTGCCTTCTTGTTTCGGTGTGTTTACATTTACACCCAGTCAAGCGTGACCTAGCGATACCTACATGACCTTTGACTGGCTTTACCCTGCAGAGGGTGTTGACCGGCGAAATATTTACCGGCAAGTTTATTTCATGGTGGGTGGGAAAAGTGGGCGTGGCAGGATAGGCGACGGTGTGGGGGCGGCGCTCGCCCGAGTGGCGAAGCGAAAGTACTGACATTACAATTTGGACCGCACATGCGGAGTATACATGTTGATGGTAGTTTTAATCCTAACCCAAATCTAAGCTATTCGTTTCCTTAAATATTAATCAGCGGGATTTTGCCAATACTAAAATGTAGTACTTGCTGTTTTCGCCATTACGAAGTAATCCCGTTTGGCGCTATGTAGGCATTGTATGTAGGTATATATATCTAAATGTAGGTTTCAGTTTAAGTCGTGTTTTACAATGTAGATAGCCTACGTCCTAGGTAAGAGGTAAACCTTAGGATTCCTAACTCCTATGAAGTTATAGTGTAGCTGGTCATCAAACGACCACAGTCGCATCATCATTTTAACAGTTTTAACGTAATCCTACACATGGACCGCAGTGTTTTTTTTTTCTCCGGAGGGGGGAGGGGCACTTGAAATTTTCGGGGTGGGGGGCGGTAAACTTTCTTCAGGGGGGCGGACACTGTTAAAAGTATATATTTTCTATATAAATTATATAAATTTCATTTCGTTCGTGGGGGCGGTAAAATGCGGAAGAAATGCCTGGAAGAAACTCTGGGACCGATATGTCTGATATATCCTTACATCCCTTGCCGAAACGTAAACAACGTACATACGTATACAACAATACACAATGTTACAATGGGGAATTCTCAGCAAACCTTTCAAATAAAAACAAGTATCTGCAACAGTAGGTTTAGCTACATTTTATTAATAGTGCATGCTGTTTCAATTACATGATATGACTGATTTATGTTTATTACAATGGAATGTTGAATGAAAAATGTCATACTGTTTTAAATCTTAGATATTACGTACATTTATTGACAACATGAAAATACTATTATTTATGATATGCACAATGGATGAAGGTTAACATGAAATGGTGTTGTAATGTAAAGTTCCCTTTCAAACCTGACGGTCTACGGGACAAATGAAGTAGAGTTCACTTGTTTCTGTGACCTCGGCATATGAAGGGATAGTATGGTCAGCATTACGCCCAGCCGCCTTTACTTTCCCTAACTTGAGTTAGGTACCCATCAGAGTTGGGTGGACTCAGGGACCGTCTAATGACTTGAACACAGATTACAACGTGGTTGTAAGAAAATATACTAAACCAAGGTCTAGGTCAAACTTGAAAAATGAATGTCAAGGTTTAGAATTACTTATGATTGGAAATAACACAAGATGATGGAAGACTAAAAATTATCATTAAAAAAGTTAAAAAAAAAAACCCCACGTTTTCTGATTGAACTAAAAAGTAGAAAATAAATGCTATACATCACAATAATGCAAGCGATCACTCTACTATAAGCGATAAAAAAAGTGGGGCGCCGAAGTAAAAGTTTTTTTTTTTTGGAAAACCAAACTAACAGACGCGAAAGCAAGTTAAAAAAAACGTGGGAAAATATAACAAAACAGAAGTTGTCTTAAAATAGTACAAGGCAATAGGGCTTGTAAGTAGGTCACAACTTCTCGTTCTCGTACTTGCCAGCTAGTAGATTTCGAGACCGTAGACTTACAAGCCCTTTTGTTATCTCATGTTATCTCAATTGTTATATTACAGGACAAATACGGTCTTAGAAAGGACTATGACACAAGATATTCATTTAAAACGTAGTAAAATGAGACTTAGTTTAATGTCTAATACATGACAGCGGGGTTTGGGCTTGTCAACACATCATGCGACCGTAGAAGTGTCAACTGATCATGTGACAACCGAGGTCCCAACACCATAACCAGAGGTCCCAATACGTTAGGTTGGGTGAGGTCTTGCCTTCATATTATGTGACAGCAAATGGTTTCAACGTAAATTGTGACATCCAAGGTCCCAACACAATAACATGTGACACATTAGGTCATAGCAACATAACATGTGACATGCGAGGTCCCCACAACGTAACAAGTTACACCTGCGGTCCTAACAACATAACATGTGACATTTTAAGTCCCAACAATAGAACATGTGACATTTTAAGTTCCAACAACATAACATGTGACATCTAAGGTCCGTACAACATAATATGTGAGTATTGAACTCTCGGCATCATAACATGCACCATATTAGGTCCAAACAACATAACATGTAACACCTGTGGTCCCAACAACATAACATTTGACACCTGTTGTCTCCATCAACATAACATTTGACACCTGTTGTCTCCATCAACATAACATTTGACACCTGTTGTCTCCATCAACATAACATTTGACACCTGTGGTCCCAACAACATAACATTTGACACCTGTGGTCTCCTTCAACATAACATGTGACACTTGTCGTCCCCAACAACATAACATTTGACACCTGTGGTCTTAACAACATTACATGTGACAACTGAGGTCCCCACAACATAACATTTGACACCTGTGGTCCCCAGCAACATAACATTTTAATATGACACCTGTGGTCCCAACAATATCACATTTGACACCTGTGGTCCCCAACTACATACCATTTGACACCTGTGGTCCCAACAACATAACATATAACACATGTGGTCTACACAACATAACATGTGACACCTGTGAACCCAACAGCATGACGTGCGACACCTGTGGTCCCCACAACATAACATTTTAATATGACACCTGTGGTCCCCGCAACATAACACGTGACAACAACTGTGGTCTTAACAACATAACATGCGACACTTGGGGTCTCAATAACATAACATGTGACACCTATGGTCCCAACAACATCACATGTGACACATGTGGTCCCCACAACATTACATATTACACCTGTGGTCCCCATAACATAACATATGTCAGATGTGGTCCCCACAACATAACACCTGAGTTCACAACAACATTATCAGCGGTACATCAGATCCCAATACATTAGACTTGGGTGTGGGGAGGGGGGGGGGGGTGGAGAGATCTTGCCTTCGAATTATGTGACCGCAAAGGTTTCAAGATAACAAGCGTCACCTGAGGTCCCTACACGTGACAGCGAGGTTAAAATCTAGCAAAGAATTGAACCAGAAATAGTCCAACACGCTATTCAATTCCCGCTAGCTCCAGGCTAGGTTTGTTTGGCCGTGCTATGTTGAACTGAATACATACCACCGTCACGGTTGAGCGGAGACGAAAACAACCGACATGAATAGCACAACAACACCAAAGCATTGGCCTGTACGTTATCAGTTAAAACATAGCACTACAATTCAAGACTTAGGAACAAAATAAACCGGGAGTGATCTCCCCTAAACTTTCTCGAATATTCTTTTATAACTTGAAATATAGACATGATTTTTAATTACTTAAACTTTTAAAAATAGAATAGAATCTCATAGAAAAAAAAAAGAATTGCGCACCAAGCGAACGCCAAAACAAAATGTGCATAATAGTACGCAATATTATTTGTACTTTATAAATTTACATGCGTTTTTTGAGAAATCGGAAATAGCGTAAATTAGTACTTCCGGTCAACGGAAGTTACTCAAAATTTGACAGAAGGTAGAGAATTAGATCTTTTACTTACGAGAAAGTAAAAAAAAATGTACCTTTATTTTAACTGTGAAGGGAAACACCTCATAAAGTTATGATAAACTAATTTAATTAAACAGTATCATGAAAATTAACAGAATTGGCAAAATTATGAACGTGATTAACATCCCGTATTATATACATCTGAATTAATGACAACAAAATCATTAAAGTATGGTATTATTTTCTCAATGCCATTTTTGCCATAAACTAATATTGTTCAGGTGTTATATACAAAAGCCCTACTTAAACGTATTTATTTGTGGTAGACTAAAATACCTTTACGTCGCGTAATCGATGTGATGTTGCTTGTGGTCTTCCGACGGAGGTTTGTATTGTCTTATTTTCCACACAATAATGCCAATGACTATCAACGCAGCCCCGACCATCGCCCCAGCCACAATAAAACCAATGGCTAACTCACTTAATCCTTTAGGTTGTGATTTATTACTACCAGGCTTAACATCGGCTTGACAGACTGCTATACAATGCACAAAATGCAACTCTTTGTCCTGACCGTCGATGGTGATGTCGATGCTTTCAGTCATCTCAAAGCCGGACTTGGATCCGAACGCCGGACACGCGGAGTTGATGGTGATGTTGCAGGTGTTGTCGGTGGTGCAGTAGTGCTGATATTTGCAGGACACAGCAGGTCCAGTGTAGATGCAGGAATGAGCACCCTCTTCCTGGATGGTCATGGCGCTGTTTTCGTCAAGCAGATCAGTGCCGCCGTCACCTGGGCTCAGCCTGAAGGTCATGGTGTTACCTGGGCCCTGACAGACGCCTTTAGCTATTCTGGAATACACAGGTGTATTTGTTAAATGTAATAACATACAATATGTATCACATTTGATTTACAGAAAGTACAAGGTATTAATTCAAAAAAAAAACAGGTAAAGGAGTACCGACTTGCGTTTGGGATATATCTATGTGATAAAGGGGGGGGGGGGTGTGATCGGTTGGTAGAGCATATTACTTCTAGCATGTAAATATAGTTGAGATCCCTGAACGTCGACAGGACGTCCTTAAGTCCACTAAGCTCGCTTGGATAGCTGATTCACGTGAGATAAATCACAGGTAGCTTGACATAGTACTAACTAACCATATCCTTATAAGCCTAGGTCACAGAAACAGGTGAACTATACTTCCATATCCCAAAAAGCAGATAAACTCTACTCACGTATCGCATAAGTCTTTTGGCCAGAGTACATTTAATTTATCCAACTGGCGTAGTTACCATTTCGGTTATTCAGACTATCGAACGGTGAATATCTGATTTGGTCAGATATTTTTAAGTCGGTTTACACAATTTAAAAGCTGTTCTAAGTCAATTCCAAAATATGTTTCTATTTTAAATTTACGCAGTTAAATCGAGCGGAGAAAAAAAAACATATTTACATGGTTTCAAATTTCTCCTCAATTTGCAGGTCTTGTATGTACAGTTGTTGAAGGGGATCATAGAGTCGAATAGTGAGGTGGGAGCGAGAGGTGGAAAGGACGAGAACTGCTTGAATAAGGATCAGCACTAGCTCATAGGCTGCCATTGTGAATTGGATGCCACGTAGAACTATCTGTAAGTATAGAAATCAAATTTTAAATATTTAGTTCGTTATAATTGTTATATTTTTGTACATTTATTTGTATTGGGTAAAATATACTGTGTTATACGGCGTATGAGTCGAATCTTCATGTGATTTTTCTGGCTTAAAAGATCGCCTTACTCAAGGGGAAATATGACATAGTGTTGTCGACAAGACATACATCACGTCAGAGGCGTAGCGACCCTTCCCGGCGCCCGGGGACAAACTTTTCGATTTGCACCCCACTCTCCTCAAGATTTCGATTTACACCCCCCCCCTTCAAACTTTCGATTTGCGTCCCCTCAAACTTTCGATTTGCACCCCCCCCCCCCATCAAGATTTCGATTTTCACCCTCCCTCAAACTTTCAATTTGAACCCCACTCAACCTGTCAATTTATTTTTCCAACCCATTTTGGCGCCCCATAAGGTCGCCCCTCCCGCCCCCATTCCTCGCTACGCTATTGCAGCATGTCGAGGGAGGAATAGAACGTAGGTTACGCTGATAATGTTACCTTTTTTTGTTTCTCTAAACTCTAAACCAAAAGGAATATATACAAATTAACCTAAATGTAAATCGAAACCGATACCATTGAAACGGAAGTCTATCAGGCACCAACTTTTAACTGGATTTAATATTTGATCTAAAAACGATAGTTTATCTAAGACCTGTAATTATAGCGGAACTTCTGCCAGAAATGCGAATTAACTAGCAAATGCAATACAACATAAATTGGAACTTACAATGAAACAGGACATTTAATCGTAATCGATAATTCAACCGAAACATGAAGTATTACAGGAACCGGAGCTTAACCGGAAATTAAATCTATACCTGAGCCGTTACATTAACTGCAACGTGAGCTTTAAATATAACCGTGACTTAACCCAAATCTTTAACCGACATATGAAACCTAAACAGGATAGCCAGGGGCGTCAAATCGCACTCTGTGGAGCACCGCCCGGGCGAAATTGATTTTTTTTCCCCGCAGAAACCTGTCCTAGAGTATTTTCAACAACTGACTGCCCAAAGTTTCAGGGCGACCGGATGAAAGGTGTAGTATTGCATAAAAGAGGACAGACAGTCAGACAGACAGACATACAATTCTTTTTATACAGATAGATATATCGAGTCTTATAAAGGATATTCTAAGAAATATTCACTTTCGGATCCAGCTTGTCAAACTAATTTGCGTCTATGAATGAAATAATAATAGGGTACTTTATAATTGTACCAAAAATGTTAATTATTTCTGATTGTTTTAAAATATAATTTTGATTATATTGATTAAAAAAATGGTCTTAATCTGTGCTAACCTTGAGCCACTAACTTCATATTCTAATTGAATAGTGCTTAATAGTCCACAATTCAATATTTGTATTGTGATGTGCATGATATTAGTAAACGAATCCTCATACATAAAAGCCCATGTGCGCTTTTCTCTCTCTCTCTCTCTCTCTCTCTCTCTCTCTCTCTCTCTCTCTCTCTCTCTCTCTATCTCTATCTCTTATTTCTGTCTTTCTCTCTCTGTCCTCAACATTTTTATGCGCTTTTATGGAGAACTTTTGTAAATGACGTCACTTGTAACATGTTTAAACTACGTACACAAAAATAATGGCCTTCATCTTACAATTCTAGAATACGAAGAAATGAAGTATTGCATTTACATTTGATTTAGATATATGGATCTACTTATCAAGACGTATGTTAAAAAATGTGTGCAATTTTGCAATTTTCTCGGCGAAAAGTAATACAAATTACTTTAATAAACAACATAAATACCATTGACATTCAATGATTGAACATCGGGGATGTAACAGAATCATTTAGTTGAGTTAACCAGTGTATGCATTTAATATGGTGTTGTGTTGACTAATAATGTTTATTTTATTTTTCTAAAAGGTATAGTTATTATAAATGTGTCGGATTGGTAGCCATTTGGTGATTTCTTTGCGTTGTCACTACTATCGTTCAACGTGTAGTAAAAGCACATTACGTTTTGACCAATAAATAGATATTTTAAAAAATATTTTTCTCAAACAAGTATAACCTTAAAATATAGAAGCCTAAAATTCACGTGTATTTGGTACCAACGGCTAGTGTACACTATAGTATCGAAATTCCATTAGGATTGAAAAACAAAAATACAAAAGAATATTTACCTTCTTATATTGTATATATATATATATATATATATATATATATATATATATATATATATATATATATATATATATATATATATATATATATATATATAGTATATTTTATAGTATATTATATAGTATAGTATATATTATACTATATTATCGTACAATAATATTAAAGCAAAACATACCTGTATTAAAAATAAACTGTTCACTATCTTTATGATTCCCAGTTTTTTTAGGTACCTTGACACCTAGGTGGCTTCCCTTGATAGAAATACTTGTGTTGCAAGTCGAGGTAATATAAATAGCAAGGGAAACCACTCGACCGTAGCCGACCTATTCTATGTCAGTAAAGCGGGTTAAAAAAAATCCGTTAGATAAAAGATATTCACGAAGATTTCAGTCCTGGCTAACTTAAACTTGTTGTACTAGGCTTGTAAAAACTTTAACTCTATTCGTCTCCACATTCACATTTTTGACACGCAAAAAAAACAACACATCTCATTAAAGAATAAATATTATATATATATATATATATATATATATATATATATATATATATATATATATATATATATATATATATATATATATATATATACGTGTATGTGTATGCGTATGCGTATGCGTATGCGTATGCGTATGCGTATGCGTATGCGTATGCGTATGCGTATGCGTATGCGTATGCGTATGCGTATGCGTATGCGTATGCGTATGCGTATGCGTATGCGTATGCGTATGCGTATGCGTATGCCTATGCGTATGCGTATGTGTATGTGTATGTGTGTTCACACAATACAACGATGGTCCCCTTGGCGCTTATCTCTTACATTACTGGTGTTGTGAGGCGAGCGATGAGACTAACAAATGCAAATAAAATATTCTCAATGACGTGTGTAGCCTGAACGATACACTCGTCATTAAAAAAAGATATATTGTACATAAGAAAGCTACTGTTTTACTGTCATATATAATACGCTTGTGACATCATCACACCATATTTAAATACGACATCCATAATCATCACTAAAGCAATAACATCATCTTCTACTCCATAACTATTTTGATGTCCCATCCCCACAACATCACACCATCTCCTACACTGCCCTACACCATCAACGTTACGCATTGCAATTACTGACACTAACAGGGACACGTCCAGACTTTCTAGTTTGTTTCAGATATATTTTAATGATTTAATAGTACTTTGAAGAGTTATGCCCCATGTACCTATTCTATTTAAGTAAGGGGATTAATTTGCAACTGTTTATTTAAGAGTAATTTAGAAAAAAAGGTACAGGTAGTATCTTTTTTCATTTTTTAAAAATGTACAGTGGTATATTTCTGCAGGTTGATTCCGTTTGTTGAAGAGAAAGTATCTATTATATGTGTATACAAAAAAATAAAGGTTAAAGAAATACGTTTTATGTTTTGTAGACTTACGACACTTTACATTCGCTCTCCGTACCAGTTCAGGCGTAGAGTAGTATACCATTTTTCCTACAATAATAAATTTAAAAAATCAGTCTGGAAACAATTATTTTAACAATAATACATTTACTGATGAATTTAGAGCTCAAATGGAACAAACCTATTTTCATGTATTTGTTCAAAACAAGTATTCTCGTTAATTTTCTTTATTATCAGTTACTTTGGATTAATTTCATCTCTACTTATTTAAACGTGTGTGTATTTCCATTTGGAACCTTGTGTGTGTGTGTTTTTTTTTTTTTTTCACATTTTATACATTGTAAGTACTTTTTTTTCTTTTTTATTTCCTGCGTGTGTTTCCTGGCCCCGGGTGGGTCCCACAGTCTGAAAGGAAATTGAAAATCCATGTATTACAATTCAAAATATCGTCATCATAGTAAACAGACGTTTACAAGCTCTCAGTTGAAATAGTATTTTCGTTTATTTATCTTGTTTAAAAGAAGCAAACAAGTTTACCGCTTAATTATTTGTATGATAATTAATTTATTACGCACCACTATTCCTATTAATAAAATAATTATACATTTGATTTTGACATAGCAATACATATTCTTTTCCCAGTTTAGCCCTATAGTAAATATGTAATTTGCATAATACATGTTCAAACGTAATTATAGTAGAGTGATCGCTTGCATTATTGTGATGTATAGCATTTATTTTCTACTTTTAGTTCAATCAGAAAACGTGAGTTTTTTTTTAAATTTTTTAATGATAATTATTTTTTACTTATCATTTTCTTTTCATGCTTCATTGTCCGTAACGGGATGTACCACAAATGAGATTAGAAGTTCAAACCTATGGTTTGGGATATAGTAGTTGGCGTCGAAGCCCAAATTACACATTGAAAAACTTAGTCTTTTGTGGCGATACAGCAGAGTTTACATGTTTTTGCTACACATGTATACACACATCATTATCCGCCAAATAATGTCTCACTCAAGCGCATTCAATGTGCTGGAAAATTGTGAAGGGTCGTATTCTACTGTTCAATGTCCACTCACGCTTCTAGCTAAGTCATGATGACAAGAAAGATGCGCAACGGAAAGTAACGCACTATAAAATGTGCAATATAACTTTGTTTTCTTAAATCGAGCATTTATAGACATTAGCAAACAATATACACGTAAATTGTAGCATAAGAAAACACTTGTCCACGAAATAAGATAAGTATAAAATGTATCAGTATAATTAATTTGCATTTGCGCTTAGTTCTGTTTGCGCAGTTGTTTGTTGCGCATTTTTGCGTCAACGTATTTTTTCTTACATCAAATTAACAGCTGTGGAAAACAGCTAAAGTTGTTTGTAAAGTAATGTATGCATCCTTTTTT